AAAATTCATATCTTCGAGCCAACGTGTAATGTTCTTTTTATTATATGGAGAAACCAATTCAACAAAAGCAAAAGGCGGGAATCGTGACGTCATTGAACGATACGACACTCACAAAGGTGACATACGGAAAATACGCCACCCGGGTCCCGGATGAAGTGGCGTATGAAATCTACGAGTGGTTTAGTTCCCAGTAAAACACTCTCCTCCATATAATAAACCTGTATATTATTTGGTCTTCTTAATGTGAGGATCAACACATGAACTTACTCTTCAGCAATGCTTGTAAGTTCACTTTTGGGTTCTTGTTTTCTTGGTTTAGGTGAGGGTGTCTCTGCTACCATGATGTTTTCTGATTCCTCTTCAAGAGTGGGACAGCTCAGTCTTGGTCTCTTAATATCCAGTGGTGCTGGGCTGCAAAAGATATATAATACCAACCATGACAGTTTTACCACAAATACTCATTATGTTTAAGACATATAATGTACTGTAACCTGTGAGGTTTCTAAGAAAATATCTCTTCTGACAGAGGCTACTGTTCTCTTCTTTGTAGCAGTAGAAAATTATGAAAATCTGATGTTAAAATAAAGGACAGACCTTTCTCTAATAAGGCGGCCAATAGCGCTACTGCGTGGACTTGGGGAGGCAAATGCTCTTTCCATTGCTGTCAACTTCTTCTTATAACTCTGATGTGAGATAACTCCAGTTAGCACGCACAGAATATTAGAATAAAATATTACAGTATTTTTACGAAAGTTGCTAACCTAATTACATTCTAGACCTTATAAACAGTATTTTTTATTATGGCTTTCAATACAGGACCTAGCACCAGCAACTTTGTCTTATAGCTCAAATGTTTTGTAAAGCTCAGTCTGTTTAATTCACTGCAGGACTTATTTCCTGGTAGATTTCCATATCAAGGACAGGAAGATGCTTTGAACAGCATTTACAGCACCCAGGAACAAAGACCAGTGAATTTAACTTGTGAAGTCACTGAAAATATTACAGTCAAGAAGAAGTGGGCTCCTTATCTCATATCAATAACACTTTTAGCTTCTCACTCACATGCCATACATTTGAAGCCCTTTGTTCTACGCCAGATTATTGTTCTAACATTTCCTGCATTCCCTAGTCTTCCACGCAGGTGTTTGACAAGACAAAAACGGTGGAAGACTATGAATTCCCTTGAGTGGTGATGTTTGCAATATGATGTTTTTTTTGTATGTAAACTATTGATCCCATGCAGCAGAATGGCCATTTGAATAACTTACACTATTCTCCTTTTCCAATCGTCTTATGTCTTCCTCTGCCATTTGAAGGAGGTCTTTATTTTTCTTCAGCTCCATTAAAACTTGTGTTGACTATGATCAGATGATGACAAAAACATCTCATTACAAAATAAGAAAGAAAGAAATAAAAAGGGAGCACTATAATTTTGAGTATAAGAGTTTAGTTTTAATACACATACCTCAATTTTTAATTTGTTATTTTCCTTCTTGATTCTCTCAGTTGCATCTATTG